TGGGGGGGGAATGAAAAATAGCAACTTAGCAGGCAAGTTTGTCAGGTAAGGAGTGAGTGGGTTGGGAGGGAGGGCCATGTGAGCGGCTCAGCCTTGTGTTCCTGTGTAGCCTGGATTAATTGCTTTGTGGGGTGCTCTGGGGGTGACATTTCTCTGCAGACCACCCAAATCTTCTGGTGGCCCACCAGTTGGCTTCCACTGTTCTGGACTCTGGAGAGCAAATGAGTTAGATTCATGTGCCTCCTTGCTGATCAAGGAGATATCATGTGGGTGGGTCCAAGTCATGATGAATTCATCCTTGATGGAGGGAGTGTTCCTGGCTCCTTTTAAAGAGGGACTGGTGCACCCTATCATTCTGGACATAAACTGTTTCAACTCCTTCCCTCAAAACCATGTTATAGAGCACTGCACACCAGAACAACTAGACACAAGGACAGTTTTTTCCCGAATGCCATCACTCTGCTAAACAAATAATTCCCTCAACACTGCCAAACTATTTACAAAATCTGCACTACTATTACTGTTGATCTTCTCATCACTCCTTATCACCCTCCCACTTGTGACTGTAACTTTGTCACTTGTATCCTTACCATTTATATTGACTGTTTCCTAGTATGATTTGATTGCTTATTGTACCCTATGACTATAATTAAGTGTCGTACTTTATGATTCTTGACAAATGTATCTTTTCCTTTTATGTACACCGAGAGCATATGCATCAAAGACAAATTCCTTGTGTGTCCAATCGCTTGGCCAATAAAGAATTCTACAGGTGAAACTCAAAAAATTAGAATATCATGCAAAAGTTCATTTATTTCAGTAATAAATAAAGGTCCAATATTGTTCTATGTAGAATCCTTGTTTTATTGATTGCATGTAATATTCTAATTTTCTGAGATTGTGGATTTGGGGTTTTCCTGAGCTGTAAGCCATAATCATCTCAATTATGACAAATCACAGCTTGAACTATCTTGCTTTGCATGTAATGAGTCTATTTCATATATTAGGTTCACCTTTTAAGTTGCATTACTGAAATAAATGAACTTTTGCACAATATTCTAATTTTTCACCTGTATTTTCTATTCTATTCTATTCTATTCTATTCTATTCTATTCTCCTTAAAAATCTATTGTTGAACCCCAGTTTTCTAGACAATTTTCATGTAGTCTTTTACCTTCCTGTTTTAGGGAAGGTGGTGCTGTTGCAGCTCCAGAGTATCCTTGGTTGCACTTTTAGATGACCTCTGGTCATCTCTGGAATGGAGGTGTGCATCCATTCTTGCTCTTCTTGACCTTTCAGTGGCTTTCAGTTCCATTGGCCATGGTATCCTTTGGGGCCAACTTAAGGAGTTGATGGTGAGGGCGCAGTTTTGTATAGATTGACTTTTGTTTCCTCTGAGACCAGTCTCAATCAATGTTGATACCAAAAGATCCAGCCTATGGCTTCTGCTTTAGGGAGTGCTACAGAACTCAGTGCTCTGTCCACTCCTTTTTAACATCTGATGAGTGTGTGTGTGTGTGTGTGTGTGTGTGTGTGTGTATGTTTGTTTTCTTAAGTTTTCGTGGGTACTTACATGTATGGTATTCAGCTTTGTTCGGGTATTTTCCCACGTCATTGTAGTTGTGCTTTTAAAGTTGTAGCAATGTTTCGGCAGAATCTCATCTGCCATCATCAGGCTTCTGTATTGTGTTCATCTGTGAGTCAGACTTTTACAGTGGTTTCAGTTTTAAATTTGGGGCTAGCCTACTGCTGTGCCAGAATGGTTTTTTCTTCATCCTGATTGGTTGGGAGTCTTGGTCTGTGTTTATTGGTCTTGGAGTTTGCTGTGCTCTGCTTGATTGGTGTTTCTAATATCTTCTGTCTGTTTTGTGGCTTTTTTTGTGTCTTGATTGCCTAGCAACATTGTGTTCCTGTATTGGAGGCCTTTAGTGCAGCTTGGCTCCGGGTAAATGGATGGTTATCATTTGTTAGGAAGCTAGGTTTCATCTGGGTGCCTGGTTGGGGTGTGTTTGAGCTGGAGGTATCAGGGGGATCTGTTTGTGCCCAGGTGTTTGCCTGGCTTGTGGTATGAAGATTTTTTTGTTTGTGAGTGCAGGCTTCCAAATGATTGACAGTCTGGTGGAATCATCTCTTCTATTCATGCTTTCAGGTCTTTTTTCAATCTCTATGGCTTGTCTGATAATTCTGTGGCTGGGGTTTTCTATAGTGGCTAGGGTTTTGGTGCCATTGAAGTCGATGCTATGAGTTGTGGCTTTCATGTGTTGGACTATTGAGGAAGCGTGTTCCAGCTTTTTTACTGATTTTTTGTGTTCATTCAGGTGGGTACTTATTCTTCTATTGGTCTGTCCAATGTATGTGGCTGAGCATGATGCACAGGGGACTTTGTATATGCCTTGGTTTTCCAGGTCAATTTTATCTTTGGGGTTTCTAAGGATGGCTGCTATTTTTCTGTCTGTTTTGAAGGCAGTCTTGATGTGATGCTTGTGTAGTATCTTACTAATTTTGTCTGTAGTACCTCTTATGTAGGGCAGGACAGCTGTTCCATAGGTCTTACAAACAGATGTCCTTTGGCTGCATTATCCTCTGCTTGCTGATGTTTTTCACTTCCTGAAGGTGTGCGGTGGTCTCCAAATGAATGAGGCAGGCTGGCATGAGTCATCCGGGCCTCCAGAGATGGAGATGCTTTCCGGCTTCACGCATCCCGGCTGAATCTGCGTCACCGATGCCACCTGATTGCACTGCAGAGCTGAGCAATGACGGCAGCAGAATACATTCAGTGCCTGCTGCTTTCTTACTCTCTGCTCTCTGCTGCATTCTGAGTGCTGTCCATGGGATAAGCGAGCTCATAGAAAAGCTTCCGTGCCTCTCTTGTGTTCTCATCACCGTAGCTTTCTTTGCTCAAGTCAAAGCACAGGGCATAGGAGGGAACCGGGACTCAGGCAGCAAGAAATTTCTCCGTGCTTTCCTGCCTTTGGCTCTGCAGAAATTGCTTGCCCCTTGCAGCTGCCTTGAGACAGCTTCTTCCGGACTTCAGCAGACCTCCCAGAGGCCAGCCATTCTCTGCTGTGCTATTAGTCCAAAGGTGAAGGAACCAAGCCAATATCTAATTGTTTTCTCCTCCCATTTAAAAAGGGGGACATTCCTTTTGCTTCCGCTTTCCTCCAGGCCCCCCTTGTCCAGTTGGCTTGTCATTCCCAGATCAGAAAACATTTTCAGCCAGAAAGACACATTTTTTTTGGTACTAATTTTCTAAGTTTTTGCATGCACCAGATCCATTTTAGCCACATCTACTTATGCATATTCACAGACACCAATATTCCTGTGTGCATTTTTTTTTAATACATGGCAAAGGAATGCCCTGGCCCTTTCTACTCAGGAATTCAGATTTTTTTTTTCTAAAAACCTTCCTGTTAGCCTGCTTTTATGAACTTAATGATCATACGTTAGTGTTGTTAGTTTTTTTCCCTAACAATTAGAATTGTAAATTTTCTCTTTGATTCCAAATGCAACGTTTTTTTTTCCCCACAGTGCCTTTCAGTGCCATTGTGCCACACCTTTTTCAGTGCCGTTGTAACTTTGGTCACTAAACAAACTGTTGTAAGTCGAGGACTACCTGTAGTAATTTTATTAAAAAACTCATACAAACTAAACAAATAAAAAGACAAAATTGAAAGGGCAGAGGAGAGGAAGAAAATATAAAATAAACCTAATAATACAGTAAAGAAAAAGAAAAGAAATATATTAAGAAATGACTCCCCTTTCATCATAAATAAGCAATCTTAATAACTTAAGATAACTTGATAACTTATAACATAATAACTATCTTCTCTTATAATGCAATAAATGATGTATTCTTTCCATATCCCATCTTTTATCCATAAACAATTCCTTAAAATCTGTCAGCCTTCAGACTATACAGGAAGTAAGAGTTAATTCTATTTTATTGTAAGGTTACATTAGCAAAATCTTGCAAGTTTGAAACTACTAATCTCTCACTGTCTCTTTACAGAAGTTGGGAGGGTCCTTGTCTCGCTCCATCCATTAACCAGCTGTGGGCTATGCCGCTATCACCCTGTTTGTGACCTTATTTGACCATTCCCTAGGTAGCATCTCTCTGCCCTGTTTCCCAAGCTCTTTCCCATATACCATAATGAAATCTTTTGCTTCAGTCCTGATCAGCAAAAGTCCTTAAAGGGCCACAGAGACAATAACCAATCTATTTTAACCTTGATCAGATAAACCAACTTCATATTCTTTCCTTTTATTTTTAACAATCTTCATCTTTAGTATCTTCAAAAAATAGAACTTGATTTTTCTTTTTCTTTTTTTTTCTTCATCCCTTCCCACAAAATCCTTCAAAGCTTTAACAATCTACTTTTGTAAATCCATTATAGGAAAATTGTCCAGGTCAAGAGTTTGTTATTTGTAGTAAATGCCCTTTCTACCCGCAACTGCAACATCCAATGATCCCCCCCCCCCCACTTCTTTATTTTTGTTAATTGAAAGATTCTTACTATTTGGCTTCAACTGGAAGTTGATTCATTACTACTTTTGTTTGGAAGAGATTTCTATTCATTATTTTATTTATGTTACAGTGTAGATAACGTAAGACAATAGATTTATTTTACTTCATTTATAAAAAAGCTGGAAAACTGTAAAATGTTTGAAGTCCTGAAAAACAGCTAATTATGATCCATTTCATGTTTCCCTTGCCCATTCTAATCATTATCTATCCTTCTTTCAAAGGACTGTTTTTCGGAATTCTTGCACTAGATTTGTGTTAGGAAGTTAAAGTATATGGAGCAGCCAAACACAGTTGAGAAACCAAAATTTTAATTGCAAAATATACTCTTGATATCATGTAACTTTGTTTGGTATGAAAGAAAATAAAGTGGCTCCAATAATTACACTATAATAAATAAAACATAATCCCTCTCAAAATTTAGCAAACATAGGATAAGCTTGGACATAAGCTGTGTAAAACTTTGGACAGCTTTCCTCTATATATCTTTGGGAAACCCTGTTAGTGATCGATTTTGATCTTTCTTCTTCACTTCTCCCCAAATGTCTGATAGATCTTGGATAAACTGCTGGATCTGAAAGCAAGGAGGAGAAATGTCAGATTTGTACAATCGGGGTGACTCCCTAAGAGCACAAGATAGAATGTGCTGCTGCTTTAGAACTTAAGATTGCTGATATGGCGGATATCACCAGGGGAAGAGAAGCAGGAAGCATCTCTCTCCAAATGCAAATAGTCATCATTTAATGATCACAGTTGGGTTTGCCAATTTGGCTGTTAAGCAAAGTAGTCACTAAGTAAAACTGTAATAGTGACTGTGCTTACAATGTTACTTTGTTTTTTGTTTTACAGATCTGTGAAGTTCATAAATGCAAGAATTGGTCATAAAATTACTTTTTCATTACCAATACTTTCCAACTGACCACAGGACTTCTGTGGCTATTTCTCTTTGACTGCTGGGACTCTGCTTGAATCAGTTAAGTTTTGGGGCTGCGCTAATCAGGCCCTAAAGCTTTAAGAAATGATATCAGGATCTGATGCTTTGCCAGAGTGCCTTTCTGCCACCTTATCTACTTTCTGAATACTTTCTGGTAGTTGGGAGGTAGTTGGGATACCCAAACTGGAACAAAAATTGACAAAGTCCTGTATGGATCAGGATATGTGCTAAGTCTATTCCTATGTCCAAAGGGATTCCAGGCCCAAGGAGAGTTTTTCTGAGCCATAGGTGAAACATGCTTTCTGCCCCTCGTTTGGATAGTGCAGTAGAAGAAGGAAGAAAGGTCATCCACGCATACCATATCCAGCTGCCTGTGAGTGTCCTCCAGAGGCACCATTAAAGCTTCCTTCATCTGCTTGTTTACACTCTGGTAAAGATTCAGCGTAGCCATCTTGATGGTGCCGAGCATCAGGGTTTTCTTCGCAGCAGTATTCTGGATATGAGCCCAGCGGGACTCCTATAGAGGAGAGAGAGGCAGCAAAGAACACGTTGAAAGGATTTTGATGAACTCCACTAATTCCTGTCATATTATAAAATGGCCCTCAAACAACCATCAGAGGGACAGGGCACAGCAAGCAAAGGTACCAGGCTAGAGAGGCACTCTCTAAGCCTGCTGTTCAAAGGAAAGCATCCTCATGCATGGCACTTAGTGTCTCCTCTGGTAAACAGAATAGATGAAGCCAATTGTGGTTGGCCTGCTCTCTGAGCTTGGAACTCTGCCTTCTATCCCTCCTAATAAACCAGTGTTGAGAGCAACAGGTTGTTCTTGGCTTCCGAGACTATGGTTTGTTTTCAGGTTTCCCTGAGAAAGAAAGAAGTACAGGTAGTTCTCAACTTACGACCACAATTGAGCCCAAAATTTATGTTGCTAAGTGAGACATTTGTTAAGTACATTTTGCCCCCATTTTATGAGCTTTTTTGCCACAGCTGTTAAGAGAATACCCTGCAGCTGTTAAGTTAGTAGCACAGTTGTGAAGTGAATCTGGCTTCCCCATTGACTTAGCTGGTCAGAAAATCGTAAAAGGTGATCACATGATCCCAGGACACTGCAAAGATCATAAATACGAACCAGCTGACAAGCGCTTGAATTTTGATCATGTGACTATGAGACTGCTGCAATGGTTGTAAGTGTGGAAATGTTGAATGATCACTAAAGGAAGTGTTGTAAGTTGAGAACTACCTGTCTCCTTACCCCACCTGCTTACCCAGGCAATGACGTCACTACGGGCATGATCGAAGCGCAGCTGCAGGCGGGCCAGCTCATTGTTGTGTTGCAGAATCTCATCGTCTTTTTCCTCTTTGTAGCGGGCCAGGCGCACCTTGGCTTGTTCGATCAACTCCAGCCCCTCCTGGGCTGACTGCAGGAGATCCCGGTGCATCCCAACTAGAGTTTTATAGCGTCCAATGACTTCCCGGATTTCTTCAAACTGCAAACGATGCCTTAGGTTACAACTATCCTAAGGTGGCAATCCTTTTTTAACTGACAATCAAGGAAGGATAACAACTAAACAATAATGACTTAGACACCATGATGAAAAGTAGGGCATCTTTTCCAGAGTGTAAGGTTGATTAAGTTCAGAGAAAATGCACACACAGAAATGAGCTTGCCTATCACTCCTTCACACCGGTTGCAATTGAATGAAGCTGTACATTGGACAAATGCAATACACCCAGGGAAAATCTTCAGGATAAAAAAAATTACCTGCAGTACTCATGTAACTTTAGTGGAATACTTTTCCATGGCCTATTCTGTAATTCAGACTTTGCTGTTCAATAATATATCTTTGGCTGTGCAATGTTAAATGAACTATGAGTTTGACTTTGGGGAGAGTCAAATGCTACTAAAAATTCTGTACCAACCTACACTTGGTTGACCCAAACATTAAAGAAGAAAGGACAAATCTGTCACTGAACTAAGACAATGATTCCCAATCTAACCCTTTTTACATCTGTTGGAGATTGATGGGGAGTTAAGTGCACTGGGAGAATATCAGGTCAGGGAAACTGCCCCTAAGACTTTCCTTAGCAATTCTTTTCTCATACATACCTCAGAGACGTGCACCACCTTCTCCAAATACTTGTTGAAGATCGAGTATTGCTGTAGCTTGCTGTAGAGCTTTTGGTGCTGCTGTTTCAGAGCTGCAATCTCTAACTTGACCTTGGCGAGCTCCTTTACCCGCTGTTTCTTCAGTTCTCGTTCCTTGTTGGCTTTCTTCAGAGCTCGGATCCGTTTCTGGTCATTCTCCTAATAATCCCCAATATTGAATACATCTCCCACACCCTGATGACCCAGACAAAGTCAAATAACAAAGGCAAGAAGCAAAAAGGGGGGGGGGGGGCAGGCGGCGGGAAAAAGGTAATTGGAAATGTTATGGTCTCCATGGAATATATGAGAATGACCATATTTTGCAAGAAATTGCCTTAAATCAGGTCAGGATAATGACCTAATAATGAATCTCCAGGACCTCAAGAAAAAAAAAAGCCCTAACTTTTTTTTAACTTTGTCTTTTTATTAGAGAGATGTGGTGGTGCAATGGTTAGAATGAAGTACAGCAGGCTAATCCTGCCAACTTCCAGCAGTTAGATTCTGACAGGCTCAAGTTTGGACTCAGCCTTCCATCCTTCCAGGGTCAGTAAAATGAGGACCCAGATTGTTGCGGGCAATAGGCTGACTGTAAACCACTTAGAGAGGGTTGCAAAAGAACTGTGAAATGATATATAAGTCTAAGTGCTATTGCTATTGGAGATTAAATTGAACCTTCAGTCTTTTGTATACAAAGTAAAAACAAATCCTGACTGAGATATGGCACCACACTGGTCCATTAGCTTGGGGATCCCATGGAAGTCCATTAAATGGCTAGTATAAGTTTAGAATGCATTCTTCCTGTCTTTTTGTTCTTATCATTTTAAAATTATTTTTAATGAATAAATTATTTTAAATTGCGTATGCCATCCAGAGTGAGATGGGTAACTATATAAATTATAAGTCTATAAGTCAGTCAAATCTTTGGCTGGTCCTAGTGTAGACCAATATGATATTTAAATCAGATCCTTTCTAAATTAAGGTGGCCCCTTCTTTGTTGATTTTTTCTAAAATTACTAAAAACCCAAAGATTTCAGAGCATTCTTCTGATTTGGACTTTCTCTTTATTTATTTTTATTTTTCTCATATAATATTATTGTGGTTCTACTTATCTTGCTCATTGTTACTGCTTTTTATTTATGACTAAAGAATGAAGATCTGAGCTGCCTAGCTAAAAAACCAGGACAGGACCAGGACTTGCCATCATCATACGAAAGAGATGTGGCATTGTTCAATGACTGTAGGTTTTGGGTTTTTTTGCTAAGTTGGGCCATAATCATAGTACCAATGAGGATCTGCAAAAGCACCATTCTGCCTGGTCCACTGGCAACAGATTAAAAACTTTCTGGAACAACATCTCACCAGCGATCAATATGATCCCTTACTTGGCCATGTTTAAAAAGTTTTTAATAGCCTTTGGGCAAGGCTGGTTGATGAACTCTTATAAGACTCTGTATTCTGGGTTGGATATTATTTCTCCTGTTTTTGATATGCACTGTTATTTTATTTGTGTATATTGTTTTATTTGTGTATATTATTTAGTGTATATTGCTGCCCAGAATGGCGTGATGACCTCATAAAGATGATAAATAACTAGATGAATAAATAAACTACTAAATGCCATTTCTTTTGCTATTGTGGAAACATATTTATGCCATTGTTAAAAGAGGAAATTATTTTGAACTGCTATGGATTTTATTACATGTATCTTGACTATTTTGCGTCTTTTCAATTTGACCCTACTATGCAACCTTTATTACTATACCTGACAGGAAAAGAAACAATTAGTATATAATGGGCATGGTTTCAAGAGAACCACAAAGAGAAATACTAGTTCCTAACTAGAACATACATATGGATCTCAACTTGCAGCAACAATTGGGCCAGAATTTCACTAGGCAATGCCATGGTTGAGCAAATTATCAGAGGACCAGATCTGATTTTGCAACCATCTTTGCCATAGATGTAAAGCAAATACTGCAGTCATTAAGCAAATCACACATCATTAAATAAATTACATGGTTGTTAAGCAAGTTTGGCGGCTCCTATTGACTTTGCTTTTAGGAAGCTGGCTGAGAAGCTCACAAATCTCAATCATACGACCACAGGATGATGCAACCATTGTAAATGCAAGCTGGTTGCCAAACAAATGACTGCAAGGGTGGTGTGTCACTTATGACTATAGGTCATAAGTAACTTCAGTGCCATTATAACTCTGGACTGTTGTTAAACAAATGATCGTAAGTCAAGGACTCCCTGTAGGATGGAGCTTAAACTAAGGTGTTGAAAATCTATAAGGAATCTGTACCTGTATGAATTGCTCAAATTTCTTAATATAAGCTTTCAGCTGGACTTCTTTTGTACCAAGCTCTTCCCATCTGTTGTTTAGGGATTCCATTCTTGTTTTAAATGCCTAAAGAGTATACAATATTTAATTATGACAAACTTTTTCTTCTGTGGGTAGTATGAACATTGTTAACTTCCATCAGGATACAAACTGGATCCTAGATGGGATCAAACATTATTACTATATATTATTATAGTGGCAATGGATGAATGAAAATGATATAACAGAATAACAGAGTTGGAAAGGATCTTGGAGGTCTTCTGCATGGAAGTATTCATTCTATGTATTTCAAGGGGTAAAAGATAGCTGTTATTCTTCCTTCCTTCCCTCCCTCCCTCCATCCATCCATCCTCTCTCCCTCCTTCCTTCCCTCCCTCCCTCCCTCCCTCCCTCCTTTCTTTCTTTCTTCCTTCCCTCCCTCCCTCCCTCCCTCCCTCCTTTCTTTCTTTCTTTCTTCCTTCCTTCCTTCCTTCCCTCCCTCCCTCCCTCCCTCCCTCCCTCCCTTCTTTCTTTCTTTCTTTCTTTCTTTCTTTCTTTCTTTCTTTCTTTTAATTTTTATCTTTGTAATTTTAAAAAATTGAATAAATTAAGGGAGGGAGGGAGGGAGGGAAAGAGAGAGAGAGAGAGAGAGAGAGAGAGAGAGAGAGAGAGAGAGAGACTCGCCTCCTTTTGAGCTTCCATGGCCTGATGCACCAATTTGGCCTCTTTCTTCTTCTCCAGGAGTCGAATAGAAGGAGAGGGAGACTGCTCCTCTGACACTGGGAATTTCCTAATCAAAGAGTACAAATGTTTCTAATGAATAGCAAAGATGTATCAGGCCATACTGTAGGATCTATGAAGGTTGTTCAAATATCTGGCAAGGGCAGAGTTCTAACAGAATAACGTACTGTATTTGTCCCTAACTTTCATTCAGTAAAATGTCTACAGCTCCAGGTGGTGATCTACGTGGAAATAACATGCCCAGTTAATCAACGGACTTTGGGAGAAGGAGCTGAGGAATTAAAGATAAAGAATAAAAGAAGATAAAAGCAATAAAGGATATAGAAGGCAAAGGAACCTATGAGGAAAGGCAAATCAATAGGTGGTTGAGTGAGTCCATAGGAACAAATGCTGCCTTTAAATTACACTTTGATGGAGATTAGTACTAGTATCTAAGGTATAGCTCTTAGACATGTAGCTGTTGCTGATTAGTTAACAACATGATCCAATTCATCTGTGGGGGAAAAACAGTTGGATTTTAGTTTCAAAGAGAGAATAGTTTTTTAAAGGTGGTTCTTTACAAATAAGATTTCTTTTGCCCCTAACTGGATAAACTCCAGAAATAAGCTTGAAAGGGTATGAAAAAGTCCATGAGAACATGATCCTGACTACATAACGAGGTTTAGGAAGTTTAAAAAAAATCCAGACTTTTTCCCCTAAAAATGTAGAATCTTGCCTAGAAGTTGAAACTAAAGCTCTACCCATTTTATCACTAACAAGCTAAATTAAATTGCAATAGCACTTAGACTTTTATACTGCTTCATAGTGCTTTATAGCCCTCTCTAAGCAGTTTATAGAGTCAGCATATTGCCCCCAACAATTTGGGTCCTCATTTTACCCACCTTGGAAGGATGGAAGGCTGAGTCAACCTTGAGCCTGGTGGGATTCAATCTGCCAAACTGCAGTAGGAGTAGCTTGCAGTACTAGAATCTTTAACACTATGTTGGAAAGGTTGCTTGTGGAAGGTTCAGGCTGTGTGTTCTCCAGGGAAATCTCAAGGTGTTTTTTTTTTTTTTTAGAATGTATGAATCTATGTACATATGTACTGTGTGTATTATATTTATTTATTTACTTTCATAGTTACTTTGAGAAGATTCCAAAATCCTCTTCACTAAGAGGTTTAAAATAAAACAGAAGCAAAATGACAGAAACAAATATTATTACCGTCCAACAAACAGAGCAGTAATCAAATACCAAATGTATATTGTTTGGATACTGGTTAGAGAATATACAGGTAGTCCTTGACTTACAATAGTTCATTTAGTGACCGTTCGATGTTATAACAGCACTGGAAATAAGTGACTTATGACCGCTTTTTTACACAATGGTTGCAGCATCCCCATAGTCTCATGAACAAAATTTAGATGCTCTCATATTTATGACGTTTGCAATGTCCTAGGTCACATGATCCCCTTTTGTGACTTTGTGACAAGCAAAGTCAATGGGGAAGCCAGATTCACTTAACAACCGTGTGACTAACTTAACTACTGCAATGATTCACTTAACAACCATGGTAAAAGGTAAAGGTTCCCCTCACACATATGTGCTAGTCATTTCTGGCTCTCAGGAGCAGTGCTCCTCTCCATTACAAAGCTGAAGAGCCAGTGCTGTCCGAAGGCATCTCTGTGGTCACATGGCCGGTATGACTAAATGCCAAAGGTGCATGGAAAGCTGTTACCTTCCCATCAAAGTGGTCCCTATTTTTTTCTACTGGCATTTTTACATGCTTTTGAACTGCTAGGTTGGCAGAAGCTGGGACAAGTAATGGGAGCTCACTCTGTTACACGGTGCTAGGGATTCAAACCGCCAAACTGCCGGTCTTTCTGATTGACAAGTTCAGCATCTTAGCCACTGAGCCGCTACATCCTTATGGTAAGAAAGTTCATAAAATGGGGAAAGCTTACTTAACAACTGCCTCACTTAGCAACAGAAATTTTGGACTAATTGTTGCCATAAGCCGAGGACTACCTGTGTTGTATCTCCAGTCACAAGGATGCCATATCTTATGACAGTTAATTTTGCTTACAGATGATTCAATTGATTATTACATATTAAATACTTTAAAATTTGTTCTACAAAGTCTTTTATAAAATGCATCTTGCACAGTTTTTAAAAACACATTCATAGTAACATGGTGGAGGGAATCAAATTCAGGCTACAGCATTGAGGAATAAATGAATTATCCCTCCACTGGATTTTTAGCTAGATGAAACCTTGATCTGATCTAATAGATGTCTTTTGTTAAAATGTGTATTTGGTTGGTTTTTGTGAGGAAGGATTCAGAAGGGAAAAGATTCCAGAAATGAGAGAGTAAGAACAGTGTTTGGAAAGGGGAAAAGCAGAGAAAAGTTTTTGGTGGGACAGACAACATTTCAGGGAATTGAACAGATACAATGGAAAGAGGAACAGATAACTTACATCAACAGTTTCAACAATTTCTGTCCATATTGCATGCGGAAATACTCGCTGAGATCCTCTTCATCCATGGTAGTCATGATGGCTGTCCACTTGCCAGGTACGTCCTGACCCGCTTCGCTTCTTTCTCTGAGCTTGGGAGTCAAGCAAACAGATTTTAAAAACTGCCAGAATCTGATGCAGTTGAAGCCATGGAACTTTCAGAGGAAGATACAGAAGATGCAAATGGTTGCTTAGCAACAGTAGGGATTTACTGCATTGGGAAAGATGAAAGTCCTTTGGGAAGTCATGATTCGCTCTGTAGGTGGTAGAACTTAACAAGACCTCCCAAATCCAACAGCCCCGTTCTTCCCATTTGGTTTTAACTGGGACAACCAGAGACAGTATAAAATGTTGTCCTTTAGTGGTTTGCTGCTTTAAAACTGCAAACATAGGGGAAGGCAGCAGCCATTTGTGCTAAACTGATGTCAAACACCAACGAATCATAATTGTTTCTGTGTTTATATGTGCACATGTGTATATATGCAGAACCATTCTAGAATCCACAATCAGAAGAAAAGTTACAAAAATCTGCTTTACCCTTTCTTTTTTTTAAATCAACAGCATTTTTCAAAGAAAATATAATCGAGGCAAACAGATCCAGCAGCAAAGTAATTTTGTTCACCAGTGTTATACTATATGTACTTTTATATCTTTCTTGCCACAATGCGTCATACAAAAAATATATACAAAATTTCTGAGGGGGTAGTAGCTCCATTCAGACCAACCTAATAATTAGAAAACTCATCAATAAGTTTTCAAAATCTATGGCTCTATTTATCAAGCAAGGTGATACAAAAAGGAGATTTGGCTGGACAGAGAAAAAGGAAATTAAAGCAAGCTAGCTTTTTTTTTTGCTTTTTTAATTAATGAAAATGTTTTGCATTTTAAGATAAGGTTCAAATGCCTGATAAAGTAATCTGGGATTTCTGTAATAAGAAATATCTGTCCATTTAGATTTTCATGGATTTTTCTTAATTAAAAATTAAATCTCCGTTTGCACACACATGAGCATGCTTAACTCCATTTGTGCAAGTGGCGAGTGCCCACTGCTCATACAAATGGAGCTGCATGCCGCTCACTCTCCTGCTTGGGTGGGGGTTGGACTAGATGATCTACAAGGTCCCTTCCAACTCTATTTAATCTGAATAATCACCTTCCGCTTGCATAGCCCAGTTCCAAATGGCTCACAGCCTAGTACTGGGCCATGGCCTGCAGATTGGGGATCCCTGTTTTAAAGGACATTAAGTCTGCAAACCTAAGTTTCTAATCACTTACAGAAATTGTTATGTAACCGCTTCTAAGCTATTAAAGAACTTAAGAAAGACAAGTTTGAAAACACTGGGGAAATCTGCCTTCAGTCCTGAATAAAAGAAAAATATTAGTCATGAGGTTAAAAATATAAAGAATCTGAAATAAACAGAAAAAAAAAGACTAAATAGGTTTTTGCTCTTAGAAAGTTATAAGGCTAAGGGTCCTGATAAAATTAGAATATTGAAACTTTTACAAAAAGATTTTGGAATTAATTTTAAAGAGCAAACCGTTTCCCATGCGAAATACTGTAGATCCTGTTTTGGGTTTAATAAGACACAACATAAAGAAGAAGTTTCATGATTTCAAAAACTGGACACTAAAGTGGACAAAAGATTTTAGTGAGAGGAAAGTTATACAGACCTCTAAGATGATGTAAAAATGTCAGGACAATAAAGATACTAAGACTTTTGAGGAATAGACTAGGAAAGCAGGAGCCACTACATATGTTATGTAGTTTTAAATGGGATTGTTAATTTTAATGTTTTAGGTAATAAAATGTTAAACATTTAATGGGATTTAAAAGGGGAGATAATTAATGAATATGTAACTTAGAGGTGGCACACTTAAACTGATATTTTAGGGGGGAAACCAATTTATAGAAGGAGTGTTATCAATCAGAATTTAAGAGGAATATACAAATGTGACAGTTAAAAATATTAAAGTATAATAATTATGAAGTTAATATATGTGAATTAAATAATGAGATAAGCATTTGGAATAATATAATAAAATAGAAAATGTATAAAAGCATTGTTATGACAAGAAATTGAATACAAAAATTGAATATGTAATTATGGTCATATTTGTATGTATATGTGAAACCTGTAATCATGCTGTTTACTAAAAAGAGATGTTAAACTGTGGAAAACTGAATAAACTTGTTTAAAAAAAGAAAGAACACAGGAGACATAATATCAACAATATCAATTATGATACCTGCTTCTATGGATAGATTAAGTCCAAAAGATGTTATGAAGAAATGTTATTAAGCCAGATGTAAAAAGAAACATATCTGACAGGATAGAGATGGTACTGAATGTGGATTTACAAATGAATATCTAAGAAAAGGATGTTTCTCTGGATCTATGAATAAAGCTGGCTGAAGTTTTAAAATTCAAAGGGGGGATACAAATGACAAAGCAACAGAGTAAACTAGATATTTTTTTCCTATTGGATTTATAAAAGAGGCTTGTTAAATCCTTGAAGAAATTTGTGTAATATGACAAAGAAGAAATGAAGAAAAAACAAATCTGACAACAATATTGGAATGAACAAAAAATTAAGACTGTTAGAATTAAAAGGAATGAATATAAAGTTGGTTTATTTGTTGAAGGTTAAAAGAAGATATGCTGTTATTTCTGGCAACCTTTTATGGACTTTGTGCTGATATCAGAATTGAAAAAAATGTTTTATAGATCTGTTTATAGATAAAAGATGGGACATAGGATGGAGAGATCAATGTTGGTAACCTTAGAGGTGGTAAAGACTAAATTCATGTATTTCTGTGATGGTCAGAAATAACTTCTTTATATATTTATTTTCTCTTTCTGTATTATGCTCTTACTTTTTTCTTTTTCTTTGCATTTTTTTAGTCCTTTCTATTTTCTGTAAGTTTAGTTGGTGCTAAATTTAATTTATAACCAAATATAGATATAGATGACAACCAAAGACAATGGGGGCTGTAGCAATTTCTGAAAGGTATCAGTGAGGGAATGGAAAGGAAAGGGATAAAACAGGACAGAGGCCACTAGTGCCATTAACTTGTCCAATCCTTGTTGGATACTTTCAGAAAGAAGGATTGTATCCCAAATCAGAAGACACTACTCCACGATTTAACTTTTTTTTCTTGAACATAAAATGTAACATCTCCAAATTTACTTTGAATAGAGAATTGATCGGTTTGATTGCAAATCCCACCCACCCCACCCATTCTGTGAATGAGATAATAAATGTCTCGTTTGGAAGCATCCTTATTCTGGGCATAAAGCTATGCTTTTGTGTACATTTATGGAAACAAATTTTAGACAGAATAAAGAGAAAGCGTATTTTTATGCTCCCTTTCACAAAGAAAGCAGAGCTTTTGGAGGAGTTGCATTTGTCACCGCTGAATGGTAGAGTGCACTTGACAGACCCTCTTCATCTTGTCCATGGGTCCAGATGTGTCCATAAAATCTCTTGAAGCATTTCCCAGTCATGTGTTTATTCTTGTGGGATCGTTCTGCAGATCCTCATTTAATTATAGTTAGACTACAGGTAGGAAAGTAAGGTTTTGTATTTCCCTGCTGAGGGCTCAGCAATATTTGCTTTGTAACTATGTGGAGAATAGAAATCCATGTTTTCTATTCTCATTTGTTTCTCCTGAGAGGGAAGTTAATATATTATAATCAAGCTAGATGTGTGGTTAGCCTTTCTGTTCTTAAAAAAAAAACATTATAGATTTAACCATGCTGGATCTATCATATGAAGAATAGGGTTTTTAAATCTTTCTCCCAAAACTTGCTATTTGTTCTTGTCAGCCATTTGCTTACAATTTCTCCTGCTGTGCTGCAAATGAGTTTTCACAAAGAGAAAAAAAATACAAATAAAACATCTTTTTTGAAAGTAGCGTAATCCTGGGTTACATTTCTTCGTACAGACACAAATTCAGGTTCATGCTCATTTTTATATTTATTCCATATCTTATTACTATTTTACATTTTCTGCATAGCTTCTCCCCTCTTTTAATTTTCTCAATTTTATTTTAATTATCTCATCTCAATTCAAATCATTGTATTTATATTTTTTGTCTGTCCTGTTTCAATTATCTATTATCTTTTCTCATTAAATAAAATTTCTCCTGTAGTTACTGATTGGCGTATGACAGCTTTATATCTTTTAAGTTTATCCATTTAACTCTTATTTAGGCTTCAATATATACCCTAAAGTTATAACATTCAATATAATACATAACTTCCATTCGGATTCTTCTTGGTACATTCTTAAAATACACACTATATTCTTAAAAAAAGAAAAAATTATAAATGTATGTAATTAAAACAACACATTCCATTCCAATTCAATTCCATCATTAATATTCATTAAAGTCTTAACTTCTTTAACATTACTTTTCAATTAAATATCATACTTCTATGGGGACAATTATAAGCTTTCCATAATTAATTCCTTCCCCTCTTCACTTATATTTTATAAAACATTAACTAATTAAAATGTTCCCATTCCTTCCTAATTCAATTTTCTCATTTATTTTATTTCACTTATTTTATTAACAAACATTTCACTAAATTACACTATTTTATCCCTCATTTTAATCATACATTGTTTCCAATTTTCTAAAGTTATTTCTATTAGTAATATAACAATACAATCTTATGTACCTTTACAGAATCCCTTTTTCAGTTAGTTTTTCACCCATTATCTCTAAATAGGTCCTGTTTCTCTATATTTTGCTCCGGTCATTTGTAACTTCTTTTCCTTTCCTTCTTCCCTCTCTTCTTCTCCCTTCCCTTTTTACCCACTTGTCTCTCTGCTTCTATTTCTCTCTTCTGTATTCCCCTTTTCTGTTGCTTTCCAGTATTATACTTAGTTTTTGAATTATTTTTCTTTTCTTTGGTTGTTTTTTTAAATCTTAAATTCTCCATTCTCTTTCCCCCCTTTCCTTTTTCTTTCCCACATAAAATTACTTGTTCATTAAAGATGGCTTCTTCTTTGTTCCAGTCTTCTTGTTTTG